TACTTACCAGAAAGCTCAAATTCTTCATGGTTGTACATTATCTGGGGTTGTACATACATACATGGCAGTGTTGATTGTCTTGTTCTTTAGGAGACTTTTCTCAGGTTTCGGGGCACCTCATTTGAAGCAAAAGGGTGTAAGCTTCAGTATAAGAGGTTCTTCAACATGATGTCTCTGGGGGCTTGTAACCAATAATAGAGTATCAAAATTTAGGTGTACTTTTTTGTTTAAGTACCAATTAGATTGGCTTCAGAGTTAACCTTAGAGCAATGTTACACAAATCATCAGCTACATTGAGACTGTTTGAGTAGAAGAGAAAGGGGAAGAGTGTTCCTTGCACTGGAAATTGTTTATTAATGTTTGGCAAAAGCCTTGAAGTATCTCTGCTATGGTCTGAATGTTTGTGTCCCCCCAAAATTCATATGTGGAAACCTAATTCCCAATGTGATAGTATTAAGAGGTAGGGCTTTTGGGAGGTGATTAAGTTGTGAAGGCAGAGTCCTCATGAATGGAATTAGTTCCCTTATGAAAGATGCCCAAGGGAGCTTGTTCATGGCCCCTTCCACCATGGGAGGATGCCATGCAAGGAGTTGCCATCAATGAAGCAGAGAGGGAGCCTTCGTTAGACACTGAATTTGCTGGAGCTTTGATCTTGGAATTCCTGGGTCCCAGAACTTTATGCAATAAATTCTGTTCCTTATAAATTACACAGTTTAAGGTATTTTGTTATAGTAGCCTGAAAAGACAGACTAAGACAGTCTCACACATGCAAATACTTTCCATGTTCCGTGTGTTGCAACAAAAAAGAGACTGAGAAAAGTTGCTTTATGTAAGTGCTGATTTACTTCAAAATGCAAGGACAAATAAGCCCTGCATAATTTCTGCTTTCATGAGAGCCCATTAATCAAGTGTTGGAATGGTCTTAAGGCATTGGCCAAAGTGCCTCTGCCAAAGAAATCTTATGACCCCCACACATCATTTTATTATTTTACTCCAGAAATGCAAATATGTGACAAGTCTTGAATTAAAAGGCCATTGCTAGATGAAAGATATGTGATTGCTTTTAAAGAAGTAGCTAAAAGGCTTCCTTTAGTGTTCCCTTCCTAGGCATGTGGCAGTGATGCCAAAGGTGAATTAAGGGAAAAAAATTAAAAAAGGACTGTGCCTTTTGAACATCTTCTATTCAATCAGAGTGTCCACATGGGCACAGCAAGGTCTATGGTGAATACTTATTTCCTTGGTAAATTTAGATTTTTATTTATGAGCAACAGTCAGGAAATATGGCCTTTTAATCATGACTTTACCTTTGTTTGGGCTGTAAAATAAATTTGAAAAAAATCTGTAAATTGGCCTGGATTTAAGTTCTCAGACTACTTTAAAAAAACATTTAAAGAAAGAATTCCAGTTTATAGGTACATTGAAATGAGTTTAAGTTGTGTCAATTTTTCTGATGGCTTTGATTGAACTAATTATTTAGTCTGTAATTGACTAACCCACTAAATCAAAGCCAGGCAGTAAGAGTTAGTGAACTAAATTTAAATCCTTAAACAAACAGTAGATGTGGAATAATCTTTAAGTTTATGAAACAAAGCACACTTTGTTTTTCTAATATGAAAAAAGTTGAGAATGCAATAAAATCCAGAAAGTAAATCCACCTATTGTAGGTGTTTATGTGTTACATTTACTTTGCAAATGAAAATCTATCTATATTTAAGAAAATGTGCCAGAATTTAGAATATCATAGACCAGGGATCAGAAAACTTTTCCTGTAATGGGCCAGATAATAAATATTTTGGACTTTGCAGGTCATATGGTTTCTGTCACAACTACATAACTCTGTAGTTATAGTGTAAAGGCAGCCATAGACAATATGTAAATAAATGTGTGTGGCCGTGTTCCAATAAAACTTTATTAATGAACACCAAGATTTCAATTTCATATAATTTTCACACATCATGAAGTGTTCTTTTGACTTTTCTCTACCACTTAAAAATGTAAAAATCACTCTAAGCTTACAGGTCAAACAAAAATAGGTCGTGGGCTGAATTTGGCCCATGGGCCATAGTTTGCTGAACCCAGACTTAAGTCTAATGAAGCATGAGCTGTTAGAGTAAGTTGTGAACTTTAAGACACATCAAGAATGTCAGTGACTAATTCATTCTTCATTAAAGACTGATCCTTGAATACAAAGCCACCTATGTACTTTACTTGACAAAAAGTTTACCCTGAGTTTAACGACAAAACAATTGGACCCATCCAGGTTGTGGATCATTCTGTAAAACTAGCCTGAACTCTTCAGAATTGTCAATATTATGAAAGACCAAAGAAAGAGAATAAAAGCACAGGGAAACTGTTCAAGATAAAAAAAGACATGGAAACTAAAAGCAGTATGTGATCTTTGTTTTTGTTTGGATCTTGGGTTAAAAGAAAAACAATTGTAATAGGACATTATTTGGGCATTCAGAGAAATGTGAATACGAATTATCAGATAGTATTATTGTATCAATGTTATATTTTTTGAGTGTGAAGATGGCACTGTAGACTTATAGAAGAATGCCCTTGTTCTCAGGTGTTATATGTTAAAGTATTTACAGATGAAGTGTTATACCCTGCAATTTAATTTCAAATGATTTACTCACATAGAAAAGTACGAATAGTAAACAAGGCAAAATAGTAACAATAAATGAATCTAAGTGACGATTACCTAATGTCATTGTTCTACTCTTTTAAGTTTTATATAAGTCTGAAATGCTTAAAAATAAAAATTTGAAAAGGAATTATGTAGGAAAAAAGAAGTATATCTATAAATTTAGTTTGGTTCAAGTTATATTTAAAATATAAGAATTACCTATTTGAAAATCCAGTTATTCTTTAAAATTCTAAAATAATTCCAACTTCATTTAGAAAATAAAACAATTTGGCTTGTAAGAAATAGCTGGGTCATTTCACTCTGTTTTGATATTTTCATCTAGTTTGTTCCCAGAAATTATAGAATAGTAAAATCTAAGCTGAATGAACCAAACACAACAAAATAATAAAACTTAGGTTTTCAAAACCCCTAAATTTAGATTGTTCTGTTGTGGTATAAGATGCATATTTATTAAGTGATCAGAAATCTGAAAAATACTTTTCTTTTCTATAATTAAAACTTCCTTAATTCTTATAGTAGCCAGATCATTTTGCCTACTATTTTGCTCACTAGATTTTTGAAAATGTAGAGAAACCAGATAAGAAACAAAGTAAATAGGGTCATCATTTAATCTGGAGAAAAGTCACAATCACTATATTCAAGGACATGAAAGGCACTTTCAGAAGAAAAATTGTAAACCCTTTGGAGGCAGTGACCGTGATTTGTTGCCTTTATATATCTAATGCCAAAGAGAGTGCTTCATACAGGTAGCCATATATGTGTTGAATGACTGAATGAATATATGAATAAACAAGTAAATAAATGGAGGGGGTGCCCTCCGTTATATGGAAACAGGTTAAGTTTGGATCTGATGTAAGGAAAAGATTCAAGATGACTTTGGCACTGAACTAGGCCACTGAAAGAAGTCGTGGATTATTTATTTATTTATTGAAATTTACAATAATAGAATAAACATATATCTTGAATATATTTTTAGAGAAAACTTAGCACTTAAATGTTCAGATACTTTTCTACAAGTATGTTGATGAAGACAGTTCCTCAATTGCAAGAATTCTGTCTGTTAACATTCACTCAGGTTGAAATGGATCTGAAAATCATAACACAGGAAGGGAAGTTGAGCAAATAGTAGTTGGGAGTGGATGAGAAACTGGTTTTAATCACCATCAGGGCTGCCATGAGAAAGAGGAAATAGAAATACTCTGAGCTGCTCCGTAAGACACAACTAAGACCAGTGAGCAAAATTATAGGTGAGGGTAGGGTAGGGGGGGGAATATGCATATTTTATAAACTTAAGAAAGAACTTTCTAACAAAGAGACCTGCCCAACAGTAGAATGGTTTGCCTTAACAGATAATGAACCACTGTCACTACAAGTGTGTAGACAGAGTTTTTTAAGAGTAAGTGGGGAGGTAGCACCTACATAGGGCAAGAAATTGAAGCTATTCTATCTTCCAACCTGAAAAGGCATTGTTCAATAAACCTGAAAGTCATTCCACAAATTTGGTGTTAATACTAAGCAGATGATAAATAATTTCAATACTTCAAGGTCTTCTATGAGCATAAAACAATAAATAGAACATTATTGTCAGTTTGTTCTTTGACTGTTTTACCAGTAGATGTAGACTTGACATTAGTTACTACCCAAGGGAAATTTAGGTAGTCTCAGCATATAAAATAATACCATATCCCAACAGAGGTCTAGAATGCTCTTAGGTATTTCAAAGACTCTAGGATTTGTCCTTTCTCCACATCCTGGGCCACTATCCCTGTGTACTCTGTCATCATCATAACCCTAGCTTATTTTTTCCAGCTGCCTCCTAACTAGAAAATTATCTATAAAATCTTCCCCCTGTAATCCTATTGAACACTGCAACTTTAATGCCTACCTAAAACCCCTTTTGAACAAATTACTACATACTAAAAATCCTAGAATGATTCATCCATTTAGAAATATGTATGGAGATTAGAAGGGGCCTAAAAATACAAATAGTTATTAAAGTGATAGAATTACAGATAAATATTGTTTGAATGATCATGGTATGGTCCTAATGATAAATATAATCAGGTGAAAAAAAGATGCTACAAAGTGCCCTTACTATCTAACATATTACATACAAAAGCCTCAACTGAACTTTTTAAAAAACCCTTCATTAAGTCCTCCCAATTTACCTTTTCTCCTATTATCCCTGCAATAAAGCTTCACAAATATTCTACTGGCTAACTTTCTGCTCTCTCCTAACGCTTTTTCTTCCTCCTTGTCCCTCATTGCTGCTTCTCCTTTTACGTCTCTTTCACCAAATCCGCTCTCTTCCTCACCTCTAGAAGTCTTCCTCACCAAGGACTGCATGTCATTTGTGTGTTCACTTTGTCCTTAATGTAGGTAAGCCTGCTGAGCAGAGGGCCTTTGTCTGTTTGCTAATTATTGTATCCTCTGAATCTGGAATAGTGGCTTGCAGATAAAAAGTGTTTCTGTACTATCTGTTCAATGAATGATTGTCATTCCTGTGACTACACGAACCCACAATATTCTTTCCCTTTTTGAAATCTGATACAAATTGATCATATATTGTGTGTGATTGTGTACTACATTATACCTTTTTCTAGTTGTGTGCATGTTTTAGTGTAGCGTTCTCAAAATGAAGGGATAGATGTCATCCATATTACCTAATTCAATACTTCAATTCAGCAAATTTATATTGGATACCTACTATGTGTCAGGCACTTGAGTAGGTGTTAACGATATAAATTAAAAAAGGTATTTAACAAGAGTCAGTAAAAACTAAATGGAATATTTCTTCGCTAATTTCTTTTACACAAAATAAATATACCTGAAATCTATAAATAATAGTCAAATTTTCTAAACTTTTCTACCATCTTTCTATCAAACCCATCCAAAAAAATTATCTAAAATAAGTTAAGACATACAAGGTATCCTGAAATCCAACATCAAACCATTAATAAGCAGAAATAAAAAAATCTAATATAAATCTTTATTGGTTTAGGGGAACTAGTGTGGAATCATTTACTGTTCCAAGATCTTTATGGTGACCAGAAAGATTTTGAAAACTGTAAAGTCTTCATGTCTAATCTCTAGTTTTAGTAAATTTAAGCCTCCTAAGCAATATAGATATTTGGGAAGCTGCAACATGCTATATTTTTATCAGAACCAGATGCAACAATGTGGTAAGGAACACAGGTAGAAGAGATCACTAATTTTCCTTTTCCCCCAACAATCTGTGTTTATTATGCCAATTTTAATTACCATGCAATCTAATGGATTTAAGGCTTATATTTTCCACATCACTAGACATCACAAACATGAAAGCATTTTATACTGTCATTATACATCAATGTTTGTACTTGGTTATACATATATACAGAAATTATTCACACATCTTAACCTTGCTATTTCCTCCTTTCAAACCAACATAATTTTACCGTGAAAGCAGCTTTTTAATAAATGGTATAAGAAATACAGCAAGGCACACTTTTTTAAAAAACTTTTTTCTCATTACCACCTCAAGAAGCATAAAAAATGAAAATGTTGTACATAATTTAATAGTAGAATGTCACCAGTTTATAATATACAACACCATATAGCTGTTTCTTGAAGTGCTGCATAGATTATTATTTTTTAAATGAAATAAATAAAATGGCGCTTCTAAAAGTTGCTTAATTTTGAAAGAAAGACCAGTGTTTCTTCACTATGCTGTAATCAAATCAAATATTGGCTTTTTAGGTAAAACTCTTTCAATAAACATAGGCATTATACCATAAAAAAATCCAGATTGAAACATGAAATTGGTCAAGTACTGGAAGGGGGTCATTCCAGACAGGCAAATTTAATGGACCATCAATTGGTAAACTGCAGAACTTTAAAGAGCAGACAAGGAGGGGAGAAGACAAACAGAAAAGTCTGGCTGGAGAGGGAGGGTTGGCAGAGGTAGCTTGGGACAGGAATCCATGGGAGAACAAGCAGCTTTGCTGAACTTCAAATACAATCACCTAAAGAGAACCAGTGTACACATCCAGATCACAAGGTTCATGTGGAGAAATGGCATTTGGAAGGAAGATTCATCTTGGGAGAAGTCAATGTAACAACCGGCAGTGACAACATGATAGAATCAGAGACCAGCTCAGGGTGGGAAGATGAGGCCACCCCTGAGTTGCAGCCAGGCTTATCTGCAAGAAAGGAAAAAGTGACAAGAAAAGGTTTCAGAAAGGTCTTTTTCATTTGCAAAACCAAACCGTTTGAGGAACACTTGAAGGCTGCCATTTTGGGGCTCCCTGCTAATGGTCTGAAATAAAAGGATACATACATACATAAAATATAAATAATGATTTTCATAGCCCAAAGTTCACATTACTGACAAAAAAATGTTTCAGTGTAGTCGTGAAAAAGACATTGATTTTTTTAAAGACATGGTTTCAAAGAAAACAAAAAATTATCAAGTTTGACCTTTTCTCTGGGTCTCATCCACTTTTTTGTCTATGAACTCAGTTTTGAACATCAAGATAGCTTGAAAATAATATGAAAATGTGAGGCTGCTGATGCCAAGTGATGCAACAAAGTATTTACAATGATTCTATGAATAGGAACCTAGGCTGTCAGGTTTAACCCCTCCTTCAGTGATTTTATGTGTAAAATTGAATAATTCCACTATTATATAATGGTGAAACATTCATAGCATTGTGATTATCCTAAATGTTTCAGCCCCTTGCCTATGAAAGGATATATATATGATCGGTTCTCTAGCTCAAATACTAATGCATTTCATTTAAGGTACAGAGGATTGTGGAAATGAAATTGATTCAATTATTTTTGTACATCTGATGGCTCAGATACAAATTTGTTCTAAACTCAATCTGTTCTGCCTATTCCTAAATGGCTAAAAGCAACTGGTCAAATGTGGGAAACACCTAAATTCCAGGTTTAGGCAATGCTGAATGCAATTCCTATAGGTCCTCTGACCTGCTCTCAAAGAAAGCAGGCTTTTTTGTTTGTCTCAGTTTAAACTGAGTTCTGATATCTGATATCAAGTTGTTTCACTGCCTTTCTAGAACAAATGTTCTCATTCTGCCTGTCTTGCTCTTTCTTTTTCTATAATCTTGCAACTTGTATAAGAGCCACAAAATTTTTTAACAAAAAGTGGTTTGGCTGGAGCCACTGGAAGTTGGGGACAGAAGGAAAGTTAGATAAAGAATAGGAGGAGACAGACAGACAAGAGCAGATGGGATAAAATTTGGTACAGTAAAATTATGCAGTAACACAAGAAAGCAGGGTACATTGTTCAAATGCTGAGGACATGACTCATTTGAAATCTGGCTACTGAGCAGGGAATCCTTAGGTGAGGCAAATCTGGTCTTACTAAATGCTGGCGTTTAAGTTCTCTCTGGATAATTAATTCTTTCAATTTGGGCCACTTGAAAATGGGCAGGCCAAATTGGCTGAGGCACAGATCTAGAGTGTGTGTGGGGGTGGGTGGGGTTGGCACTGTCCAATAAAAATCTTTGTTATTTAGCATGGCAGGGCTACTTATTCAGAAGTGGTGGATAATTAAAAAATACTTTACTCATTCAGCAAAACCTCGATTTATTAAAGTGAGTTTAAAGGTAAATTTGACAAGATTATACCTTTATTGTCTAGTGAAAAATTAATATACAGTCATCAAAGGTAGTTTCTTAAAATTGCTTGGCCAGTATTGGAAAATATCAAGCACTTAGTGTCAATCCAATTAATAGAATGAAAATCTATGTTACTTACATGAGAAACGTTTGCTCTTCCACCTTTCTCAGTTTGTAGAAACTGAGCGGCAGCATTTATGCATATACTTGAGCATGCATAAATACAAGTAATTGCTTAAAATCTAAAATCTGCAGGCCACCAACTATCACATTTACAGACCAATAAAGTAGAAAAGTCAATAAAGTTAAAAAGTTCTAAAGGAAATATATGCACCTTAAGCAAATACAGCACCTTACCTCACCCTTAACACACACACATACACACACACACACACACACACACACACACACACACACACACACACACACAGTAAAACAAAACCCCAGACCACCAGAGCAAACCAAAAGGAAAAAAAAAGTACATACTGGCTGCACATAATGAGTTAAATTTTTATATCACAGGATTTATCCAGCCTGAAATTTAGGGTTAAACCATTCATCAAAGATCAGAGGCTTATGATGAGGATTATGAAGAAATAACTGTCAGAATACAGCAAAAAGATTAGTGCAAAGTGCATCTCTTAGGCAGATCCTAGGAGGCACTCCAGACATACATTATGTGCTTCCTCCAAATTAGGCAGAAAGATCTGGATCTATCCAGTTACTTTTCCTTTGATGTGATTTGCTGTAACTGACCTCTCTATTTTTATCAAAACATGACACATAAATGAAAATAGTGAAAAGCACAGTAGTGTTCCTGGAAATTGCTGCAAATGAATACTGTTAGATCATGTTAAAACTTCTCAAACAGTTTCAATGGACTTTTAATTAGAACACAATAAATAAAATACTTTTAAAAATAATTTTGAAAAAAAGTTTGTTACTATTGCAGACTGTGTCTGCTATACTAAGTTATAGTTCTTCTGGATGGTATTATACTCATTTGATCATTTGAAAAGTTATTTCTGAAAAAAAGTCCCAGCAAATTAAATTTGGTCAATTTTATTGTCCTGATAAAGAGTATCCCAACTGATGGTTTGCAAATGGCTTTAAGAAGCAGAGCTTTTCCTTTTGCTTTTACGAATCTAGTAGAAAGAATGATGACAACAAGTAGGCTCTAATAGACATGAAACCTCATATTTACCAAATAATTTTACTATGTATTCCTGACAATAAATGCTGAAGTCATGTCAACTTTTTGAGATTAAGTAACTTGTCCTGGTTGACAGCAGTTTAACAATATGTGAATATTTACACCCAGTTACACAATGCTGGAGAAAATGACTGGAGAAAAATTCAGGCATCCAGACGTTTTGTCCACATGATACTGAAAAAACTGACGAAGACCAGTGAATATGGCTATTTAAATGGCTCTAGGCCTATAACAAGTCACTTGGGGGCGATGTGAGTTCTGAAGAAGCAAAATCTAGCTGCTTCTCCCTTTGCCTGAGGCTCAGGCATCACTGGGGCTCAACAAAAAAATACTGCAGACTGGCAGGTGGGTTGGCTGATGATTTTACACTGTCCTTGCTTGTAAAATGTGAGATTTACACAGATTTATCAGCACATTCACTTCCTGTAAATCTAAAGATGGAGCTGCTCATCATTTACATTTCCTTTCAATTCTATGTCTTCATAGGAGAAGGAAGAAATTCCCAGAAGATGAAAAGGGAGAGAGCAACCCAGAGGCCACTCCAGTGCCAGGGCTTCTAGAGCTCTGTTTCTCAGCATGACTGGTGACTTGAGGGTCACAATCACATGATGTCATGCTCAGAATGGTGTTCCTTTCAAGCCTTTATCCCCTTTCAGAAAACAAAATCAGCCAGGCTCTACCATCCCTTCTACGGAGGTTGCCAGAGCCAGCAGTACAATCAGTTCTAATAGAACTTGTTTTGAAGCAGCTTATGGAATTGCAGTTACTCTCCCTTAATGGTCAGTTTTACTGCATACTGATGGAGACTGTGATTATAGGGTAGACACGTTTCACAGAAAATACATTTCTCTCTCTCCTACTTTTGTTCTCACTTGCAGCCAATTGTAAATGGAGTCTCAAACACAGAAAATTAGTTGAGCTATATTAGTAAGTAGGATGCCTTTCTTCAATTTTGCATACTGAGTTTATTTTTAGGGTATATATATGGTATAGATTCCCCCCTCATTCCCCATTTCTAGCAGCTCTACACAGAATCACACATTTTAATGAGCTTAGGGCACAGGTGTTGCAGGAAAAAAAATAATGATGTTTGCCATTCATCTTTCAAATTAAATAATGTGTTTTTAAATAGTAACTTTTTTCATAATACATTATAGGAACAACATTTATCTGTCACATTTTAAAAGATGTATTTGTAATAAATGTAAATTACTTTTAGAAAATCAGTAATTAGGCTCATCAAAAAATAAACAATCTGCCACAAAAAAGATAATCTTTAGCATAGTTAAGTATAATAACTGTTATTTGAATAAGTTAACAAATTAGGGTAGATTGCTTCTGTAATTCATTTCCTATAGCACGAGTTTAGGTTACAGCATTAAGCTTCAGGAGTGGGGGGTGGAGATGGCATTAGGCACCTCATACTTTGGTGAAATACAACTCTTACATTTGAAAGCTCAAATTTTCTTTTTTAAACTTGATTGAGAAAGCATATTCATCATCGGGGCTTAGAAATAGGAAATAACAGAATCTTTGTGTCACTTTTAGAGATGTATCATCATCTCAGAATTATCAATCAATAGCTGTCTTATTAACTATGAAGAGTGGAATGACTTTCTTAAAAAATTTGATGGAAATCAGCCTGTCACCTTCAGGCAAAATTCAAAAATTCTGTTTTTATCAAAATGCCATTAACTTGTCATGTATTCTCTTTGCATTTGCTTTCTGTGCCTGTTCTCAATCTGTGTGTGGATAAATAAGAGCCTCTTCTTTAATATCAACTTTCTCCTCCTGTTTGAATCTTTAGACATGGCCATGATTAGGAGCTGTGACAGCACAGCCTTCCACTGGGGGAGCAAATGTGATGATAGTTACATTAGACAGAAGTATAAAAGGAAGGCCCAAATCAGGAGCTGCTGCCTTTAGCCTAACCATTGTTCATCTGCAGGCACTGAAGGCAGTGGGGATGTCTGTGTGTAGGAAACTAAAGTGGGGAGTATTGTCACTGTGCATGCATTTTGATTATGGGGTATAATTGCAATTTGGATAACCTTTTTTTCCTCCCTTAATGATAGAATTTGAGGCCTTAAACTGTTTGACTACTTCCTCAAATTTTGTATTCTTCTTGCCAGAATGATACAACAAAGATAATGTCACTAAGAATATCAATTTTTACTGCTTTTTTTTCTTTTGCTTCAGAGTTACTTTCATTGTTGGGAGTATTTCTTCTACCTAAATGTCTTATTCACATAAGTATCTGCCATGATAGGTCATTCTGACTAGTCTTTTCTCCTACCATGGTTTTGTTGACTCAAACTCATATTTTAAACATACATATGGCATGAGGGCTATACGTACCTTTCAGTGAGATGATTTTCATGCTTGGGGGGGGTACATTCTACCTATGCATATTTCTATGTCGTTCTTCATGAAGGTTTAGAAGATTTTCTTCACAGGTTAAAGTTTTGGGGCTGGGATGCAATGCAGCCTTGTCTTTTGGCTGATTTGATTTCAAGGAGAGGTCTTGAACTTTAGATTTGGCTGAAGGAGCATTATGTTCTTCTGGCATTCCAAATTCACCTGTTTTCCCTGGACTCTCCTTTTCTCTGCCCAGCCTTAAAGGATTTGTAAACTGTGAGTTTTCTGCACAGCCACTGGAAGCTTGGGGTAAACCATCCACTTCCTTTCCAACATCAGCTCTTTTCTGAGGGGGAGGACTTGAAAGAGCCACTATGTCTGCATCATCAGCTAAGAGAGAAGTATCACTGAACTCAGAAGAACTTGCTGCTGCTTGCTGTGGTACTGCAGCTTCATCAGTAACTGCAGATTCATTTGGAGCAGTGCTAGAGAAACAAGGTTCCTCTCCATCAGAGTCATCCTCAACACAGGCCTCAAAGAAGCATTCAATATCTTCCTTGTCATCTAAGCCAGAGTCGGTAGTGTCTAGTGGAAATGGAGTGTTGCTTTTCTCCTCTATGTACTTGGTGACCTCGCCACAATCACTGTCATGAGATGAGAGAGATAAGTAGGAATAAAAGTCCCCTTTTCTCAGCTGGATAGGCCGGTGAGAATGCTCCAACACTTTCTCCTTGATTTGAGTTAATGAAGTAGGAGCAGCCACCTCAGTTTCAGGTTGAGATTTACTTTTTAGGGCTGTTGAAGCCATGTCAATGATTTCCTTAACAAAGTTGTGTACTGAGCAATCTTCAGCATCTTTTTGATGGAAAACATCTGGCTCACAGTTGCAACAGGAAGTGTTGTCGCTGATAGAAGCATTTTCCTCTGTTTCATTTTGCTCAAGTGCTAGGCAGCAACCAGCAGATTTTCCAGTCATACTTGGTGCATCATCGGATGAAGATTTCAGTACATCAGAGTCTTGTCTGTTGTTAACCCTGGTTTCTAAAGCCAGTTCTGGGTAAGACTTCTCAGTGGGAGTAGAAGCAGTGCTTTGATTTTCAAAATGATGGTAATTTGGATATTTCTTTGGAAGATATTGAACAGTTTGGGGAACAAATTGCTTTTCGGCAGTATTTGAATCACCTGAACTATCCATAAATGCTTTATACTTACAGTGCTCACTCTCTGAAATCTTTTTCACATTTGAACCAGAATTTGGGACATTCAATTTGTCCCTTTGCCTTTCAGGAATACTTTCAACATTGCCATTTTCCATGTCAGCCACATACGGATCTTTATTAACTTTGAAAATATTTTTCTTATTTTCACCTTTTGTCCCTAACTCACGGGTATGGGAGGGAATCTTACCATTTCCATTATTTTCAGATTGACATTTTATGGAGCCATTTAGAAGGGCCTCAATGTTCAGGGTATCAGAGGGATCGGTCATCTCACTACTACTTACATCTTTACTGCCTTTTATCTCTTCACTGAGATTGCACCTTTTCTTATCTCTTGTCAAAGACAATTTTGGCCTAATCCAGGTCTGCAATTCATTCTTTATATAGTCTAGCCCTGATATCAAGTTGCATTCTTCATAAATTTCATCATCTGTTGCAATACTGGAGTCATCATCCTCATCTTTGATGCACAGCTCTTCTTCAGTTAAGGTGAGTGTAGAACTGGAGAGGAGGTCGCTGTCATCTTCGTCATCAGTGCAAGCAGAGGTACATGAGACATTAACAATCATGCTGACGTTGACATCGCTTTCATCAGCCACTGAGTGAGACAGGCGCTTCCTGAAGGTTGCATTTGATTCCGGGATCTTGTTCTTGTGTAACACAATATCTTCTGAGCAAAGAGAGAGCTCATCACTGCTGCTAAGTTCTGTGAGAGATGCTGCTGAATCTTCGTTGATAGAAGATGCTATGTCCAATGACATCTGGCCAGTAAAGGACATCTTTTGGGAACCACTTTGGAGAGTGATATCAGAAACACTTCGCTTTATCTTTTGCTCTGAGGGGCTCTGGATATTCTCTAAACGATTTAGTAGATCTAATGTTCTTTTACTCAGTTCACCAACTGAGCCACTGCTCACGCTTATATCCCCAGAGCTGTGACAGCTAAAAAGATCTTCATTGCTTTTATAGGATGTCAACCAACTTTCTAAAGAAGTGCTTCGCTGGAGGCCATCACTGCCATTTTTAAAGATGCCCAATCCAAATAAATCACCCCCTGGAGAAAGAGACTCAACAGATGAACTATGAGACATAAGGGAGAGCTGTTTGGCATTCTGCATGCCAGTTAATGTCTTTTCTATATCACCACTTTTATATGAAATGTGATCCATTTCATGGGATGCACTTGCCAAAATCTTTTCATGGGGAGGTGCATCTGGCTGTAACTCTGTAGCCTGATGTTTAGATTTGTAGGATTTTTTATCAAAATAAAAACCATGAAGCAGGGGATCCTCCACATGTGCTTTTTCACTTTGTGACTGTTTCATTATCATTGGTAATTTGAGTTTTGAGCCTTGGAGGTATGAGTAATCGTAAAATGTAAACACATCATGTTTTCCTTGTAATTCTTCTCCCAAACAATCAGGGGTATGTTTGGTAACACTGTTTAAATCTCCAACTTTTCCATTTACAGAACCCACTGGTGAAATGGATGACTGAGAGCTATTTGGAAGCTTAGTGTGTTCCCCCTCATCTTTAAATTTTTGCTTTAACATGTTAACTGCATCTCCCATTTGTGGGTCCAGATGTTCAGTTTCAAGGTTACTTGGGGATCTATCTACTGCATTGAGCAAGCACATTTCAGAGTTGGTAGTGGTTTCTGTGTCTCCTTCACTGACGATTCCGCTCTCACTGCCTGAATTCTGGCTCATGTCTCCTCCATGGCATGGGCAGGGCTTCACCAAATTGGACCCCCCTAGAAGATCTGGTAGAGATTTGGTAGATGAAAATGAAGAGTCTTTACTGAGACTCTTAGTTAAAACATTAGGCTGCGTCATGCCAGTGAACTTTGGATTGTTTTTCAGAAATGGCATGTGGTTTTCCTCATAGAGTTCAACATTGTGGAGGCTGTATACTTGGTAAATGTGTGGACTGGAGGGGACAGTAATATTTGAGGCATATTGAGATCCCCCATGGTCACCTGCCTCCTCTTCATAACCAGGGTCCTCACTAGTTGTCTCTGCGAGTTTCAAGGAAGGCATAATAGGTTGGGGTTCATGATCAAGGTCATTTGATTCTTCATTCAAACTAATTAACTTGTTACTTATATCCATTTCATCCCATTCCAGAGCATCCTCACTCATCCCATTTAGGTCCATCAAGCCAGGATCAATCACATTCAAAGTCTCCTGCATTGGAGGAAGGGAAAAAAGAAGAAGAATTAGGGGAAATAAGCATGAAAATTTTATCCATTCAATATCCCTTGGAAAATTCAGGAAATAAAACTGCCCCAAGCATAGATTTATTTGAAAGATAGCATAATTATCAACTCTATTCCTCTCTGGAATAACAACCAAAAATTATTGAAATAGGCTTTTCTATCAATAGCAATCTGTCACTGAAGGCAGTAACATAGATTAAAATGTAAGACTATTACACTCAAATTGTAATTTATGGAATTAACTATTTCCTATTGATTCCTCTACATTTTAAATATTGGACTGGGTGAAGATAAAACTGCCTGGTAAATGAAGGCAAAAAGAGTACAGCCTCTGACATCTCTTAAGGTACATCCACACTGATACTATTTGAGTTCTGGAGGCCATAGATTCTCCAGCCATACATGGCAAACTCCTTCTTGCCTCTATTTCTGAGTTCTCCAGTTGAAGTAGCTTTTGCTTGGGGACTCAGAATAGAGTTGTAGCTTTCATGGGCCAGAGGATCTTGGCTGTGAACTCCTTCCTCTGTCTTCCCTTTCAGGGCTCTGCCTCTTCAGATCTTAGCCCTGTTGCCAATCAGACTGAAGATTAGCAACAGTTTATTGGTTTCCTCATCTGTAGCTCCCTGGACCCTGAGTGTTCCAGGGAGGTTCCTTAATCACAGTTATCTCAGTCCCTCTCTTTCCTAGTCTCTCTCTATGACAGAGATTTCACTTTGATCCTTGTCAACTTATATCACTACCGTCAGTCCTGCTCTTATTTCTTATAGGCAGAACCTCCCCCTCAAGCCCACCTCCAGCCCCAGAATAACTATCTGAAGACTTTCCTAACTCCCAAGGCTGAAATATCCCAGATTCCCTTATGCTGCTCTCTGCCTGCCCACTTGGGACCCTTGATCTTTCCTTGGACTTCCTGGCTTTACCCATGTTTAGGTAGAGCTTGACACATTCTGGGACACAGTAGCTAGCTGGGCTCCTGAACTCTATCCAGATTCCTTCACCATCCTTACTTGCTGTCCAGCTGTCTGAATTCATGCTAGAGTCAAGAAAGGTGATATATACACTGCAGACCCTGACAGGCTCATCTACAGACAGAAATACAAACAAAACTTCAAAGTTCAGCTTCCACTTATGCAGGGTAGCCAGGCAGATGTGCATGGCACTAGAACTAGCACACTGGTTGAAGGGCTGACTTTGCTGCTTATCAGCTGCATGACCTTGGGCAAATTGCTTAACCTTTCTGAGCCCCAGAAATCACCTTTAAAATGAGGATAGCACTATCTATCTTTCAATATCTTCATGAGTATTAAATGAACTAATGCTTGTGAAGTTCTGAGAAGGCAGTTAGTATGAGGCAGCTTTAATTCTTAATGTATGTAGAATTGCTCTAGAGTGGCCTTGAGTCAATTCATAAAGGGCTTCCCCTGCCAACCTCATTCTCTCCTTCTCATCATTCCTTCCCATTTGCTACTAAAACCACAAAGGATTCATGACATGGTAGGTAGAGAGAGGTGTCACACAGTAACATAGGTCAGTATATTTGCATGACAAGTCAGAATTATTTTAAATGCCTGGTTGAAAAACAGACCATGATGCTTTTATTCCTCAGGAGTGGGGGGAAAGCTTCACCTGCAGTATATTAGCAGAACTTTCCTAAGAAGTGCTCAATCCTTCCTAAAACTAATAGTTAAAGGAACTACAAACACAAAGGAACCACAAAAACACATTAAGCATAAAATACCCATTAGCACTTTATTATACTGGATATGTAAGAGATTATCTGTACCGTCTACTTAAGTTTAAAAGAGTTCAGTTACAAAGTAAACATTAATTAAGGGATATTTTTAAATTTTCTAACAAAAATCTTTCCTGCTGCCAATGTTATAGCAGTTAATCTAGTACACTAGCAATCATCACAGTCGCTTAGATATGGAGTACATTCACTGTGATGAATTTTTATTAGAATTTCTGTTTATTCTTTGCCTGCTGATAAAGGAAGTACTAATGACTGGTTAGTATGGGTAATGAATGTTAAAATCTTCAGCTGTAGGAACAATCAATCAGTCTAATCAAATAGTATATTAATTTCAAATACTATCTTGGGTGACACTGTACTCTGAGAGTGCTAATAAATAATTGAACTAGTCTTTCAAAGGAGCTCTCTTTATAACTTTCTGCCTGACTTTAACATTTAGCAGCACAGATTTTCCACGAGGGTCCCAAACCTGAGGGCTCACATGGAAACACAGGAGTTGTGTCATCTGGATATGCCAGGAGCTAAGCCCAAGTGATGCCTACGTCTCAGACTCCTCTTCCATAACACAGTTGTTTTCTGGCCAATTGCTGCCTTTATGGTTTTACAAATTCAAGCTTAAGAAAGTATAAAACTTATTAAGCCAGTCTGTTGCATTAAAAAAACAAAAAAACAAAAAAAAAACAACAACAAAAAAAGAAAGTATAAAACTTATAGCAGCACCTAAAGGAACAAATCCTTTGCTCAGTAAAGCACAATTTGCCCTCCATACCCTGGGTTCATGTATTCAACCAACTTTGGATTGAATATATTTGGGGAAAAATAAATCTATAAAGTTCTGAAAAGCAAAACTTGAATTTGCCCTGAGCCAAGTACTACATTGAATCCATGTGAATAAAGTAATGTGTAGGCATTGTATTAGATATTATAAGTAATCTAGAGATGATTTAAAGTATATGGAGGATGTATGTAGGTTATATGCAAATACTGCACCATTTTATATCAGAGACTTAAGCATCCAAGGATTTTGATCTGTCCAGAGGGTGAGGGTAGAGTACCAAGGGACAACTATAGTTGGAATGCAAAATTTCCACAGGAAAAGGTTAAACTTTGGGATTTAATATTGTACTTTAATTTTCTTAATTCTCTTCTCTTGTAAACCTCTTAAATTTGTTGTGATTTCTGAATTTTTTTGTATGTCAATTCTAGAGAATATCTGACAAGATCCATTAGAAAAATCATTCATTTTAGGCTTAAAAGTGCTGCTTACTCTGCCCTCACTCACTCCCCTCTTGTTGTGGATTAAATTAAGTCAATATTTTCAATAAAATCTCCATTTCCTCAGGATTTAACCTCAACCATAAAACATATCTCTGGGGTAAGAAAGTGGGAAGAGTTTCCAAGAAGGACATTAGAATATTTATATAACTAGAAAAGTTAACTTTGAATAAAAGGATATGCATATACTGAGATGTAACTGATGGGAAAATTATTTGGTCAATTGCTGTCTGTGATGACAGTTCAACATAGCCAGTAATACTCAAGCTAATGGAGCATTTGTTTTTCTTGCTATTGTTTTCCTTAAAAGAATTATGTGGTACTTTTTTAAAAGGCAAAAAATGTTCCTGTCTTTGATAAAGTGGTAAATCTAAATGGATTTAGATATAAAATCAAAGAGTATTTGAATGAAACCAAAGGGTCGGTGAGTAGTAAATGAGGTTCCAATAGAAGAGCTGCAATTCCAAAACTAATTCTGAATTAAATTAACTTGTGCAAGAGTCTTTCACTCATAAACTTGTTTCTTGGGTACAGAATTTTGGCCTAAACCAAGGGCACTATGTAAATAATTGCATATAAACACATCCATACACATCTGCTCAAGAAACAAATGAAATTAATTGGTGCTAGTTTATATTATTATTATTGGAAGTATTTTATTTATATCAGCACAATATATACAGAAAAAGTAACTAAAAGTGGCTGGAGAAATGATGATGATGGTGATGATGATGATGATGAAGGAACCAAGATTCCAGTTGTAGCTGGTAATACATATCTGAATTAACATCCTCTGTACTTGTATGGCTTTAATTGAGTTAAATCTCCCAAGATTGCATTTCCAGGATTTTCTTAAAATTTTAGGTTAAATGGTGGGTGTTTATAAGAGATGAGAAATACATTAGCTAAAGAATTTAGACGAAGGAATTTGACATTCTACAAAACAACAACCTAAAAGAGATCTGATATACCTGCCTCTGTATTCCTTTAATTTCCTTTAAAAAGTTAACATCTTTTGAAAGACTTTCTCAAAAAGACTAGAATGAACTGAATGTTCCAGTCAAACTTTTGGTGCTCAGAATGGGCAGAACCATTAGGAGGTCTTGTAGTTTGTATTCCTCCTATTTATTCTAGATCCAGGAGTTTATAGAGAAGCAGCACATGCAAAAACCTGGGATGGAAGATTTATCCGTAGAAAAGTAGAGTACAACAAAACATACCAATAAATAAAATGACAAACACATAACTGAATAAAGATATATGTATATCTTAATTGAATAAAGATATATATCATAATTGAATATATATATTCATATATATATCATAATTGAATAAAGATATATATATCTACTTTAGAGTGAAAAGCAGAACATACAGAGGTTTGAGGAGGTGATGGAGAGGAGGAAGGAAATAATATACAGATGGGGGTGGGAAAATCTATTTAAATGAGGGGAAATTCCAACATTCATATATTCATTCTGCTTTTTTAGTGCAATATTTTTCCTAGCCTCCACCCCAAACTTAAAACCAAGTGTCTGAACATTAGCTACATAATTATTTTCCTAAAGTAGACTTAGGTAGACATTTTGTAAAAACAAAAACAACAGCAAGAACAAACAGCTAGTCCTCAGAAAACAGAAAGATAACTTTTAAGAGAACCCCAAGTCTGTAGTACTCTACCTCTTGTTGAACAGGGAATGGATTCAGAGTTAGTAAGAAAAAATACAGAAGACAATAATAGTATGAAAAAAATGTTCACATTTATCAGCCATTTGGAGATTGGGGCAGAAACTTAAATAGATCTGGATTTGAATCCTGGATCTTCCCTTCCATATGTTAGCTGTGTGATCCTGGACAAATTTTTTAACTTCCATGCCTCAGTTCCAACATTTGTGTATCTGTGACAATCAAAGCACATTGTGTCTATCTAAAAGATTTTT